TAATAGCCTAACAACCAAAAAAAGCCCAAAACCAGATGGATTCACAGCTGAATTCTACCAGAGGTACAAAGAGGAGCTGGTACCATTACTTCTGAAACTATTCCAAACAATAGAAAAAGAGGGAATCCTCCCTAATTCATGGAATGAGGCCAGCATCATCAGGATACCAAAACCTGGCAGAGACACAACAAAAAAGAAAATTTCAGGCCAATATCTCTGATGAATATTGATGCAGAAAACCTCGATAAAATACTGGCAAATCAAATCCAGCAGCACATCAAAAAGCTTACCCAACATGATCAAGCTGACTTAATCCCTGGGATGCAAGGCTGGTTCAAAATACGTAGATCAATCAACATAATCCATCACATAAACAGAACCAATGACAAAAACCACATGATTATCTCAATAGATGGAGAAAAGGCCTTTGACAAAATTCAACACACCTTCATGCAAAAAACTCTCAATAAACTAGATGTTGATGGAACATATCTCAAAATAATAAGAGCTATTTATGACAAACCCACAACCAATATCATACTGAATGGGCAAAAGCTCAAAGCATTCCCTTTGAAAACTGGCACAAGATAAGAATGCCCACTCTCCCCACCTATTCAATATAGTATTGGAAGTTCTGACCAGGGCAATCAGGCAAGAGAAAGAAAGCAATGGTATTCAAATAGGAAGAGAGGAAGTCAAATTGTCTGTGTTTGCAGATGATATGATTGTATATTTAGAAAAACCCATCGTCTCAGCCAAAAATCTCCTTAAGCTGATAAGCAACTTCAGCAAAGTCTCAAGATACCAAATCAATGTGCAAAAATCACAAGCATTCCTATACACCAGTAATTGACAAATAGAGCCGAATCATGAGTGAACTCCCATTCACAGTTGCTACAAAGAGAATAAAATACCTAGGAATACAATTTACAAGGTATGTAAAGGACCTCTTCAAGGAGAACTACAAACCACTGTTCAAGGAAATAAGAGAGGACACAAGCAATGATCATGGATAGGAAGAATCAATATCGTGAAAAATGGCCTTACTGACCAAAGTAATTTATAGATTTAATGCCATCCCCATGAAGCTACTATTGACTTTCTTCACAGAATTAGAAAAACTACTTTAAATTTCTTATGGAACCAAAAAAGAGCCCACATAGCCAAGACAATTCTAAACAAAAAGAACAAAGCTGGAGGCATCACGCTACCTGACTTCAAACTATACTTCAAAGCTTTGGTGCCAGTAAACAACATGGTACTGGTGCCAAAACAGACATATAGACCAGTGGAACAGAATAGAGGCCTCAGAAATAATGCCACATATCTACAACCATCTAATCTTTGACAAACCTGACAAAAACAAGCAATGGGGAAAGGATTCCCTACTTAATAAATGGTGCTGGGAAACTGGCTAGCCATATGTAGAAAGCTGAAACTGGACCCCTTCCTTACACCTTATACAAAAATTAACTCAAGATGGATTAAACACTTAAATGTAAGACCTAAAACCATAAAAACCCTAGAAGAAAACCTAGGCAATACCATTCAGGACATAGGCATGGGCAAAGACTTCGTGACTAAAACACCAAAAACAATGGCAACAAAAGCTAAAATTGACAAATGGTATCGAATTAAGCTAAAGAGTGAACAGGCAACCTACAGAATGGGGAAAAAAATTTTGCAATCTATCCATCTGACAAAGGGCTAATATCCAGAATCTACAAGGAACTTAAACAAATTTACTAGAAAAAAACAACCTCATTAAAAAGTGGGTGATAGATATGAACAGACACTTCTCAAAAGAGGACATTTATGAGGCCAACAAACATATGGGAAAAAAGTTCATCATCACTGGTCATTAGAGAAATGCAAATCAAAACCACAATCAGACACCATCTCACGCCAGTTAGCATAGCAATCATTAAAAAGTCAGGAAACAACAGACGCTGGAGAGCATGTGGAGAAATAGGAATGCTTTTACACTGTTGGTGGGAGTGCAAATTAGTTCAACCATTGTGGAAAAGAAAACCTCCAACCTCTCAACTATGTATATAGAAAGTTCAAGGAAAAGATCTCAGGTAATACTACAAAAATTGGGGAAGGATAGGTGGTCTGTTGGTTTCCTATTAGTACGGTACCAAGTTGTCACACTTAGTGTCTAAAACAGCACACATTTGCTATCTTGTAGTTCTGAAGGCCAGAAGTCTGGAATGGTTTCCACTAGGCTAAAATCAAGATGTTGGCAAGGCTGCATTTTTTTTCTTAAGGCTCTACAGAAGAATCTGTCTTCTTGCTTTTCTTTTCCAGCTTCTACAGGTTATCTGCATTCCTTGGCTCACAGTCCTTTTCAATCTTTAAAGCCAACAATGGCCCATCAAGCTGTTCTCACCTAGAATAGCTCTAATACCGATGCTCTGTGTCTCTCCCACTTTTAAGGACTCTCACGATTATATTAAGCCCACCTATATAACCAGGATATCCTATTTTAATATAAGTTAATTAGCAACTTTAAATTCCCCTCTGCCTTGTAACCTAACCTATTCAGAAGTTCTAGAGATTTGGACAGAGATACTTGGGAAGTCATTATGCTACTGACCATAGGTGGTAGGAAGTTTAAATTTTATAGCTAAGGACAATAAGCATGCATTCACTTCTGAGGTAGATCAACATTGAAATATTTTACATCTATAGAATTTTTCTAATTTAGAAATTGTCTGATATTTCCTCAGGGTAAGATTATGCATTTTTGACAAAAATATTGCTAAACGGATGTTGAATTCTCATGCATTACGTCAAGGAGCATATGATATATTTGCATCTCATCATCCAAAATGTTATCTTGGATCATTTAACTAAGGTAGTATTTGCTTGGTTTTTTCACTGAAAAGTTACAATTTAAACTTTGAAATTAATAAAGTATTTTGTGGGTAGATAATTTCAGACTATGTAACTATCCTATTTCAAACTTTTGTCCACTGCTTTAAGCAGTCATTTATAATTCTTTGCTGGAACACACTAACAGTGTGGGGAGGTCAATTGTATAAGTCCACTGTCAAATTCATTTTCATATGTGGGCAGATATAACCTTCTGTTCAATTAACAAGGTGTGCAGAAAAGAGATAACAAGCAGGGCTGAGGCTGCTACCCTTAGAAAAGCCTGCTTGCAAAGTTGGCCCTTGGTTGGAGTCTGGGAAGTTAAATAATAAACACTTCCTGTACTGATACACAGGTTTACTTAAATGATGAGTGGCTCACTATGTTTGTACAAACATAGTACTAACTGTTTGTACAAACAACATGGTTTATGCGGAATATCTACTTTCTGTCTAGTAGTCTGGAATTTTGATATATGCTAGGAAGAAGATCCCCACTTGATCATTCTTCCAGAAAAACCCTGGGTGTTGAGTCTCTAGTGAGCTTCTCTGGTTGACAACACTTTACACGTGTTTTCTGTTACTGGAGGAATTAGGCATGTTCTGTGTGACTCCACTGAGATTAGGTACATGGGGCTTATACCTAATTTCCTGCAGTCTTCACCCCATGTACCTTTTCCATTCCTGATTTTGCTTTGCATCCTTCACTTTGATAAATATTAGCTGTGAATGCATTAAATGCTGGGTCCTGTGAGTCTTTCTAGTGAATCACCATACCTAGGAGTGGTTGTGGGGACCTCTGACATGCAGGATTGATTAAGCTGTCTACATTAAGCCATACAGGCTTGGCGTGGTTGCTCACTCCTGTAATCCCAGCACTTTGGGAGACCAAGGCGGGCGGATCACGAGGTCAGGAAATCGAGACTATCCTGGCTAACATGGTGAAACCCCGTCTCTACTAAAAATACAAAAAAATTAGCCGGGCATGGTGGCGGGCGCCTGTGTCCCAGCTACTTGGGAGGCTGAGGCGGGAGAATGGCGTGAACCCGGGAGGCGGAGCTTTCAGTGAACTGAGATCGTGCCACCGCACTCCAGCCTGGGAGACAGAGCAAGACTCTGCCTCAAAAAAAAAAGGAAAAAGAAAAAAGAAAAAAAATAGACATACAAATTCTACATAATTTCTTGATACATTGTGTGTGAATAGAATTATGCTAAACGAAACCGAGACAAGTAACCTAGCCCTATATTTAGAGACTCACAATATGGTGGCTATGTCTGCATAGAGAATTACATAAAAATAACATTTAGGTCAGGCGAGGTGGCTCATGCCTGTAATCCTAGCATTTTGGGAGTCTGAGGTGGGTGGATCACTTGAACTCAGGAGTTCAAGACCAGACTGGGCAACACGGCAAAACTCCATCTCTATTAGAAACACAAAAATTAGCTGGTCATGATGGCACACACCTGTGGTCTCAGCTACTTGGGGGGGCTAAGGCAGAAGGATCACTTAAACCTGGGAGATCAAGGTTACAGTGACCTGAGATGGTGCCACTCCAGTCCAGGTGACAGAGTGAAACCCCTGCAAAAAAAAAAAATATATATATATATATACACACACACACACACACACACACACACACACACATACACACACACACACACACACATATATAAAAATTGAGTCAGAGCAAAAACAAGAAGCTTATTTCTTTAGGAATTTCAAAGATGTAGACATCGTATCTTGTTCGGATTATCAGGAAAGCTAGAGGCATGTGAGTCAGCTTTAAATTACTAAGTGGGTCTTGACAGAATATGGTACCTGGAGGTAGAGGGAAGGAGAGTTTTGGAAGGCAAGGGAAATGGATAGAGTGCATGCCAAAAGAAACAAAATATAGAGTGTATTAGAAATAAAATAGAATAATATTTTATTTGGCACAAATTGGAATTTTCAAATGCTCTTGGTTAAAATCCTAATAATTTGAGTGCCTTATTTATAATTCAGTTTTATGTAAAACTTATAGATTATTATAGAAAGACCATAAAACTTCCATGGCATTTTACAAGTGTTCCTCTTACACTCAGGCACAGAATTTTTGCTTTACTGGTTCCTAATTATGTTTTTCTTTTCTGTCTCTTCTTTGTTAAGGTTCATCATGAATGAGAAATGGGACACAAATTCTTCAGAAAACTGGCATCTCATCTGGAGTGTCAATGACACAAAGGATCATCTGCACTCAGATATTAATATTACCTATGTGGACTACTATCTCCACCAGCCTCGAGTGGCAGCAATCTTCATTATTTCCTACTTTCTGATCTTCTTTTTGTGCATGGTGGGAAATACTGTGGTTTGCTTTATTGTAATGAGGAACAAACATATGCACACAGTCACTAATCTCTTCATCTTAAACCTGGCCATCAGTGATTTACTAGTTGGCATATTCTGCATGCCTATAACACTGCTGGACAATATTATAGCAGGTATGTTGACTTTTGTGCAGTTCAAAGAGAATATGAAATATTTGTCCCATATTTCGGCAGCCATTGGCAGGGCTGCTCATTCTTTTGTTTATTCACAGATATTTATGGAAATCCGGGAACTGATTGAAGCACCTGCCCTCATTGGATCTACATTCTGAAGGAGTAGACGGACAATAAACAAATAGTGATATAATTAGAGAATGAGAAGGATTCTGGAGGAAAGTAAAAGTGATATAATAGAAACAGAAAGTGGAGGCTGCTATTTTTATGGAGTATTCACTGGAGGTCATGAGAAAATAAGATTTAGTATGTCTTACCTGAAGCCTTTGAATTTTCTTAATAAAATTCAGGGCGCATATAAGATGATAGAACTATCACTATGAACTATAAGGTCCAAAGAACTGATACATCGGATTTGAGTTAATGTAATGTCTTCAATCTAACGTGAAATTTAGGCCCTCATGTGGTTAGCTAGAGATTTCCAACAGTTTTTGAGAGAAGCTGCAACAATCTTAATGATTTTCAAAAAGTGGTAGTTTATGTGTGCAACATAAGTCAGTTTACATTGTAAAGCTTAGGGTAGCACCCTATAGTACTTCTGGGCCCACAGAAGTACTTTACCTTACTACGTAGATCTGAGTTTTTGCGATGCTTATCATTTAAAAATTTCTATCGAGGATGTGATGAAAGGACTGTTCCCTTGACCCCTTCACGGGACTGGTGAAGGGGCGGTTCCTTTACTCCTAGTTTAGCACCGCCTTACATGCTCCTGAAGTGCAGGAAAAATGTATCTCCAGCTTCCAATACACTTTTTGTACACAATACCAGCTTAATAAGTATCTGTTGTGTTAATTAAAGAGCGGTGCTCACAATATTCACATTCCAAATCTGTGTAATAAAAAAGAACATCAAAAGAATATCAAATATATTTAGAACAGCATGAGCCATAACAAAGTTCATACATTTTTATAGCATTCAGCATCAATTTACTGAAAAATAGGAAAAGAGATTTCTCTTAAGAGTTTTCCTGTTTCCTTCCTTTCTCTGGAGTCGGACTCAGGGAGAGTTCAGAGAACCAGTTCTGTCAGTCACATACTGCATAGATGAGAGTTTTTGTGATGTTTATCATTCAAAATAATTTTATCGAGGATGTGGTGAAAGGACCATTCCCTTGACCACTTCGCGGCACTGGTGAAGGGGCGGCTCCCTTACTCCACCAGCAACTCTCCAGCCCCTTGTGGGAGGGGGAGCATGCAGGTGAGCAGGTGCAGGAGCTAGGGCAAGTGCTTTTGGGTGCCAGCAGGAACTAATCCTGTAACAGCCCCACGGCTGTGTCTAGCAGTTGCCTGCGACCCCTGGAACTCCAGAGAGCAGACAGCTAAGTGTTAACCAGCTCGGTGGAGGGTCAGGGTGACAGCATTTGGCACCTGCCCTCTGGGTACCTGAGTTCCTGTCTGGCATCCAGGAAGAACCAGGTCGCATGAACGAATTGAAGGGTGGCGAATGTGGAGAATTTTATTGAGCGATGGAAGTGGCTCTCAGCAGGATAGAGAGCTGGAACAGGGATGGAATGGAAAGATGATCGATGGTCTCCGGCTGAACTCCTCTCCAACCATAGTCTCCAATGTCCAGCTGCTTTTCTTTTCAATGTTCAGACGCTTCTCGTCTTCTCTCCTCTGCCGCACCACTCTGCTGCTGTGTCAGTGGAACCTGGGATTTTTATGGGTATAGGATGGGGGGCGTGGCGGGGCAGGGTGGTTTTGAAAAAGGCAACATTCAGGTGGGAAAACAGGATTGCATGTTCTCACTTAGAGCCACAAGGTCCAAGCTGGAGGGTGGAGCCGTTGCCAGGAACTCCGCCCTTTTCTAACTAGTATTTCCTTGCCTCACGTCCATGTCAGTTACATTATCAAGACACTATGCCAGACAAAAAAAGGGTGTACAAATTTATAAAAATTATTGTTATCACTCTCAGGCAAGTATTTTTTAAATTAAACTTCTATTTTTAATTCAGGGGACATGTACAAGTTTATTACATAGGTAAACTTGTGTCATGGGGGTTTGTTGTACAGATTATTTTGTCACCCAGGTATTAAGCCTAGTACCCATTGGGTTTCTTTTCCTGAGTCTCTTCGTCCTTACTCCCTCTACCCTCCAATAGGCCCCAGGGCATGTTGTTCCCCTCTATCTCATCATTAGCTCCCACTTATAAGTAAGACCATGTAGTATTTGGTTTCCTGTTCCTGCATTAGTTTGCTGCAGATAATGGCCTCCAGCTCCATCCATATTCCTTCAATGAACTCATTCTTTCTTATGGCTACATAGTATTCCATGGTGTATATGTACCATATTTGTTTAATTCATCTACCATTGATGGGTATTTAGACTGATTCCATGTCTTTGCTATCGTGAATAGTGCTGCAATGAACATACACATATATGTGTCTTTAAAATAGAACAATTTATATTCCTCTGAGTATATACCTAGTATTGGGACTGCTGGGTTGAATGGTAGTTCTGTCTTTAGGTCTTTGAGGCATTGCCACATTGTCCTCCAGAATGGTTGAACTCATTTACATTCCCACCAACAGTGTAAAAGTGTTTATTTTTCTCCATGATTTCACCAACATCTGTTATTTTTTGACTTTTTAATAGTAGCTACTCTGACTGGTGTGGGGTGATATCCCATTGTGTTTTTTATTTGCATTTCTCTAATAATCCGTGATGTTGAGCTTTTTTTCATATGTTTGTTGGCCACATATATGTCTTCTTTTGAAAAATATCTGTTCATATCCTTTCTTTGCCCACTTTTTAATCGGATTGTTTATTTTTTGAAAATTTGTTTAAGTTCCTTTTAGATGCTGGATATTAGACCTTAGTCAAATGCAAAGTTTGAAAAAATTTTCTCTCACTATGTAGGTTGTCTGTTTACTCTGTTGATATTTTCTTTTGTCATGTGGAAACTCTTTAGTTTAATTATTAATAGATTCTCCTTGTAAATTTTTGCATTTGTTGTGATTGCTGTTGGTGTCTTCCTAGTGAATTTTTTGCCTGTTCCTATGTCCAGAATGGTATTGCCTAGTTGTCTTCCAGAGTTTTCATAGTTTTGGGTTTTACCTTTAAGTCCTTAATCCATCTTGAGTTAATTTTTGTACATGGTGTAAGGAAGGGGTCTGGTTTCAATCTTCTGCACATGGCTAGCTGTTTATCGCAGCACCATTTATTAAATAGGGAATCCTTTCCCCATTACTTGCCCGTTGTTTTTGTCAGTTTTGTTGAAAGTTAGATATTTGTAGGTGCGTGGTCTTGTTTCTGGATTCTCTATTCTGTTGCATTGGTCTATGTGTCTGTTTTCGTACTAGTACCATGCTGTTTCACTTACCATAGCCTTGTAGTATAGTTTGAAGTTGGGTAACATAACGCCTCCAGCTTTGTTCTTTTTACTTAGGATCACTTTGGCTACTCAGGCTCTATTTTTATTCCATATGAATTTTAAAATAATTTTTCTAGTTCTGTAAAGAATGTCATTGGTAATGTAATAGGGATAGCATGGAATCTATAAATTGCTTTGGGCAGTGTGGCCATTTTCATGATATTGATTCTTCCTATCCATGCACATGGAGTGTTTTTCTATTTGTTTGTGTCATCACGAATTTCTTTGAACAGTGTTTTGTAGTTCTCCTTGTAGAAATCTTTCACCTCCCTGGTTAGTATTCCTAGATATTTTATTCTGTTTGTGGAAATTTTGAATGGGATTGAGTTCCTGATTTGGCACGCAGCTTGACTGTTGTGGGTGTATAGGAATGCTAGTGATTTTTTTACATTGATTTTTTTTTTATTCTGTGACTTTTAGGAAAGTTATTTTGCCAACAAAAAGTGCTCTCAATATTTTATCCCATACATACTTTAAATTACATTAATTATTTTAAAGTTCTTGCATACAAATTACCCATCCTTGGCCAGGCACAGTGCCTTGCACCTGTAATCCCAGCATTTTGGGTGGCCAAGACAGATAGCTCACTTGAGCCCAGGAATTCAAGATCAGCCTGGCCAACATGGTGAAACCCCATCTCTACTAAAAATACAAAAATTAGCCTGGTATGGTGGCGTGCACCTGTAATCCCAGCCACTCAGGAAGCTGAAGCATGATAATCACTTGAACCCTAGAGGCAGAGGCTGCAGTGAGCCGAGATCGCCCACTGCACTCCAGCCTGGGTGACAGAGCAAGACTCTGTCTCCAAAAATAAAAAAATAAAAATTACCCATCTTTAGCTCTTTGTTTGCATTCTCAGGAGGCAGCTGCCTTTGGCAATTTTTGCTTTTATTTTTTGTAATTACTAATATATTTCTAAATAACATGTTTTCAATATTTTTTCTTCAAATTCTCATAGACGTAAATTGAGTTGTAAACTTTCACCACATCAGTACAAACATACATTCATACTCTTCACCTTCTCGCATTCTCCTGGTATAATTATGCCACAATTTTTGTTTGAATCAACATACAGAATATACATTCTTATTTTACATATATCTTATCCCTGCTGAGCCTTGGAAAATGCTGTATCAATTTCTCTCTTATAAAATGTTTCATTTTCCTAGATTTATTAAGGGTATATTTTGATTTGCTTAGTTTGGGTGTGTACCCATTAGTAATATATCCTCACATTCACTTCCAGAAGTGTTACTCTCTTGTCAATAGCTTTAAACATATCAAGTATCTATAAATTTAGCTGCAGGTACCTCTCCTGGTGTTTTCTGTTCTCTTGTCTTTATAGGAACACCTTACTCCCAGGGCAGAGCAACTTCTGCTCTGGGATACCCCTTTGCTGATACCTAACAACTCTCTTCACCTCTCTTTGTGTTCAATCCCATTTTCTGGACGCCATGTCCACTTCTTTTTTTGTTTATTCCTTTCTGAGAAATGGTTTATTGAGATGAAACATTTGAGCTCTTATATGTCTGCAAGGATTTTTATTCTGCCCTCACACTTAATTAGTTAACTGTGTAAAGAAGTCTAGGTTGGAAATTTCTTCTGTCAGAATTTCAAAGGAATTACTCTATTGCTACTGCTGTAATATATGGTATTACTGCTGAAAAAAATATGATATTTAATTCTTTCTTCTTTTGCCCATGATTTGTATTTTGTTTTTCTTATGGAAAGCTTTTAGAACTTCCCTTTATCTCTAATGTTCTCAATTCCCATGAAACTATGCCTTAAAGTAAGCCTTATTATTTTATATGTATTGTGCTGGACATAAATTAGGGTTTTTCAATCTGAAAATGAGTGGCCTTTAATCTTAGGGATTTTTCTTGTGGAGTTATTTTCTGTTTTTCTTTCTTCTACTCGTATTATTCAGATATTTGAGATTCTAGATTGCTCTTTTTTTGTCATCTTTTTACTTTAAATTTGCCCCCATTCTTCTATTTTCAAAGATTTTCTCAGCTTTCTCTTTTAAACTTTATGTTGAACTCCTCAATACGGTTACCATATCTTAAATATTTTGAGTTATTTTTATTTTCTGCATATTACTGTAGTTCCCACCATAATACAGCAGTATCATGATACAAACAGTATCATGCACATGTTTCATGGACATAGTGCACTATATCTCTTGGGTTAGTAATATTTGTTTCTGTTTTCTATTTTTCCTATCTCTGACTTAATTTGGTTTTCCTATTTTTCTTCCTATGTGTGTTAGTCTTTTTCTTTTATGTTTGAGGTTTCCCTAGTGTTAACTGTTTATTTTTCATTGCATTTTAAAAATTGTTTTAATTTGTTTTCTTTTTAGTTAATATGGTTACATATGTGTATATTTATGGGATACATAGGATGTTTGATATAGGCATATAATGTGTAATAACCATATTAGGATAATAATCATATTAGGGTATTTGAAATATCCATCACCTCAAGCATTTATCATTTCTTTATGTTAAGAATACTTAAATTCTACTCTCAGTTATTGCTAAATATACAATAAATTATTCTTGACTGTAGTCACTCTGTTGTGTTATCATATACTAGCTCTAAGGCTGGGTAAGGTGGCTCATGCCTGTAGTTTCAACACTTTGGTAGGCCAATGTGAGAGAATTACTTGAGCCTAGGAGTTCAAAACCAGCCTGGGCAACATAGTGAGACCCCATCTCTACAAAAAATTAAAAAAAAAAAAATAACTGGTGTGGTGGACTGCACCTGTATTCCCAGCTACTCAGGAGCTTGAGGTAGGAAGATTGCTTGAGCCTGGGGACAGGGTGGTGGGGTAAGCGGAGGGGTTAAGGCCACACTGAGCCATGATCACACCACTGCACTCCACCTTGTCTCAAAACAAAGAAACAAACAAAACAAAACAAAACAAAATAAAACACCACCAAAAAAAAAAAAAAAAAAAAAAAAAAAAACACCCCCAAAAAAAAAAAAAAAAAAAAAAAAAAAAGACTAGATCTAGTTAACTGCTTCTTAGCTTCTGTGTTTCAGAGTGAGGCATAGTGTGGCTGCCTGGAAGTTCTGCATGCCTGGAGGTTAAGGTTAGGACCACTGTCCACTTCATTAGTCTGGACTATTCATTGGGAAATTCACAATTGTCAAAATCTATGTATCAGTATTATTGAACAGGTCACTTTTTCCAGAAGGAGATTTTCTAACGTACTGCCATAGGAATGTAGGGCTGGCTGTTACATTCCACATTGCCATGCAGTGCCGCGGTATACTTTCACTTAATCCTTCTGCATCACAGTGGCACTCATTACACCGCACCTGGCAACTCGGGGTTTAGAGTACTTATGGTTCTGCCTCCTCAGAGAGTAAATCTCCATTCTTCTATCAACATGGGGGAAAAGCCAGTGGCATCTAATTGGATTTATACATAATTTCCACCAATCATGTTGTTTTCTCAACCTCCCATTTAGTAGTATCTGGCACTTTAATTTCTAAGGATTTATGCTCTTTTATCCTACACCTATCATTTCAGTGGAATTGAGTGAGGGAGATAGGGTAAAATATATGCTTAATATTCCATGTTCGACCAACGGCTACACACACTTTTTTGCATTTTTGTTGACAAATAGTACTACCATAAGCTAACACATTTTAGAACTGAAAGAGACATATTCTCTTCTGGTTGCCACTCACTAGAGTCACTCAAGCATTTATTTTAATATGATCTGAATAGGTGGCTTTTAAAAGATATACTTGAATTATTTAGGTTATTTAAAAATACTTTATGGGTAAGAATATTTTGTTTTGGAAAATAAATTGCAGAAAATTTTTAAAAATAAATTTTAAAACTCTGAGAAATGCATAATTTTCATCTTTTGAGAAATGAAAATATTTGCTAGGAGAAGAATATTGTTTCTTTTCTGTAATAGCAGATGGGTGTTTCGAATATCAAACTACTACAATAATTTTATTAATTTATTTTATAAACTATACAGTAGCTAAGGTTTAGGAGGAAAGTCATACTTTTGTTCATGCAAAGTGCTCTTTATTCTGGATGTGTCTCTGGGGTGAATTGTCTCATTTCATTCTATAGTAATAAATACAGTTTATTCTATATGTAACTCCTGATTCCTCATAATTTATGGGGTGCCTTTCCAAACTAGAAAACTGACATTCTGTTTATTCATTTAAAGGTTTATTCATTGTTCATTCAAACTAGAAAACTGTTCATTCTGTTTATTCATTGCTGCATCAGAGTCAATGGTTTAGACTCTGGAGTCTTACTGCCCAAGTTCAAATCTTTAAAATGCTCCTAACTAGCTGTGGCAAAGTAGGTAATATTTGTTTATTTGTTACCTCATCTACATTGTGATGAAAATAACAAAGCCTTCAAAAGCTTGTTGTGAGAGTTAGATATGTCGATAGACAGAGACCACTTATAGTGCCTGGAATGTGATAACTACTATTAAGTTTTGACGTTATTGTTAGTGTACTGAAAAACAGAGCTCTGGAGAGATTAGGGAAAATACTGAGAAACATTGACTGTTCTCTGCCTATCATGTAGAAAACAGTTGCGTTAGTCTTGTTTCCACGCCTTTCTATTTTTATTTTCAGTGAGATGGTGAAAATATGATCTTTTGAAAGACTGTTTCATTTTCCTTTCAGGATGGCCATTTGGAAACACGATGTGCAAGATCAGTGGACTGGTCCAGGGAATATCTGTTGCAGCTTCAGTCTTTACATTAGTTGCAATTGCTGTAGATAGGTAAGTCTACACCAAACTCTGATTCCAGAAAAATGGGCATGTCTGCAACTAGCATACCCGAAAAATATATAACCTACTAAATTCGGACATATCTTTTCAAGTTGTATTTAAAAAATCAACCTCTTTTTAAAAATTATTATACTTTAAGTCCTAGGGTACATGTGCACAACGTGCAGGTTTGTTCCATAGGTATGCACGTGCCGTGTTGGTGTGCTGCACCCATCAACTCGTCATTTACATTACGTATTTCTCTTAACATTATCATTGCCCCTACCCCCCACCCAATGACAGGCCCCAGTGTGTGATGTTCCCTACCTTGTGTCCAGGTGTTCTCATTGTTCAATTCCCACATATGAGTGAGAACATGCGGTGTTTGGTTTTCTGTCCTTGTGGTAGTTCGCTCAGAATGATGGTTTCTAGCTGCATCCATGTCCCTGCAAAGGACATGAACACATCCTTTTTTATGGCTGCATAGTATTCCATGGTGTATATGTGCCACATTTTCTTAATCCAGTCTATCATTGAAGGACATTTGGGTTGGCTCCACATCTTTGCTATTGTGAATAGTGCCACAATAAACATACATGTGCATGTGTCTTTATAGCAGCATGATTTATAATCCTTTGGGTATATGCCCAGTAATGGGATCACTGGGTCAAATGGTATTTCTAGTTCTAGAAACTTGAGGAATAACCACGCTGTCTTCCGCAATGGTTGAACTAATTTACACTCCCACCAATAGTGTAAAAGTGTTCCTATTTCTCCACACCCTCTCCAGCATCTGTTGTTTCCCGACTTTTTAATGATGGCCAGTCTAACTGGTGTGAGGTGGTATCTCATTGTGGTTTTGATTTGCATTTCTCTGATGACCAGTGATAACAAGCATTTTTTCATATGTCTGTTGGCTGCATAAATGTCTTCTTTCTAGAAGTGTCTCTTCATATCCTTTGCCCACTTTTTGATGGGGTTGTTTGATTTTTTCTTGTAAATTTGTTTAAGTTCTTTGTAGATTCTGGATATTAGCCCTTTGTCAGATGGGTAGATTACAAAAATTTTCTCCTATTCTGTAGGTTGCCTGTTCACTCTAATGGTGGTTTGTTTTGCTGTGCAGAAGCTCTTTAGTTTAATTAGATCCTATTTGTCGGTTTTGCCTTTTGTTGCCATTGCTTTTGGTGTTTTAGTCAGGAAGTCCTTGCCCAAGCCTGGGTCCTGAATGGTATTGCTTAGGTTTTCTTGTAGGGTTTTTATGGTTTTAGGTCTAACATTTAAGTCTTTAATCAATCTTGAATTAATTTTTGTATAAGGCGTAAGGAAGGGATCCAGTTTCAGCTTTCTACATATGGCTAGTCAGTTTTTCCAGCACCACTTATTAAATAGGGAATCCTTTCCCCATTGCTTTTGTCAGGTTTGTCAAAGATCTGATGGTTGTAGATGTGGAGTGTTATTTCTGAGGCCTCTGTTCTGTTCCATTGCTCTATCTCTCTGTTTTGGTACCACTACCATGCTGTTTTGGTTACTGTAGCCTTGTAGTACAGTTTGAAGTCAGGAAGCATTATGCCTCCACTTTTGTTCATTTTGCTTATGATTGTCTTGGCAATGGAGACTCTTTTTTGGTGCCATATGAACTTTAAAGTAGACTTTTCCAATTCTGTGAAGAAAGTCAGTGGTAGCTTGATGGGGTTGGCATTGAATCTATAAATTACCTTGGGCAGTATGGCCATTTTCACAATATTGATTCTTTCTATCCATGAGCATGAATGCTCTTCCATTTGTTTGTGTCCTCTTTTATTTCGTCGAGCAGTGGTTTGTAGTTCTCCTTGAAGAGGTCCTTCACATCCCTTGTAAGTTGGATTCCTACGTATTTTATTCTCTTTGTAGCAATTGTGAATGGGAGTTCACTCAGGGTTTGACTCTCTGTTATTGGTGTATAGGAATGCTTGTGATTTTTTCACATTGATTTTGTATCCTGAGACTTTGCTGAAATTGCTTATCAGCTTAAGGAGATTTTGTGCTGAGACAATGGGGTTTTCTAAATATAAATCATGTCATCTGCAAACACGAACAATTTGACTTCCTCCTTTCCTAATCGAATACCCTTTATTGCTTTCTCTTGCCTGATTGCCTTGGCCAGAACTTCCAACACTATGTTGAATAGGAGTGGTGAGAGAGGGCATCCCTGACTTGTGCCAGTTTTCAAAGGGAATGCCTGCAGTTTTTGCCCATTCAGTATGATATTGGCTGTGGATTTGTCATAAATAGCTCTTATTATTTTGAGATACGTTTCATCAATACCTAGTTTATTGATAGTTTTTAGCAGGAAGTGCTGTTGAATTTTGTCACAGGCCTTTTCTGCATCTATTGAGATAATTATGTGGTTTTTGTCGTTGGTTCTATTTATGTGATGGATTGCCTTTATGGATTTGCATATGTTGAACCAGTCTTGCATCCCAGGTATGAAGCCTACTTGATCATGGTGGATAAGCTTTTTAATGTGCTTCTGGATTTGATTTGCCAGTATTTTATTGAGGATTTTTGCATCAATGTTCATCAGGGATACTGGTCTAAAATTGTCTTTTTTTGTGTGTCTCTGCCAGGCTTTGGTATCAGGATGATGCTGGTCTCATAAAATGAGTTAGAGAGGATTCCCTTTTTTTCTGTTGATTGGAATAGTTTCAGAAGGAATGGTACCAGCTCCTCTTTGTACCTCTGGTAGAATTCGGCTGTGAATCCATCTGGTTCTGGGCTTTCTTTGGTTGTTAGGCTATTAATTACTGACTCAATTTCAAAATTTGTTATTGGTCTGTTCAGAGATTCAACTTCTTCCTGGTTTAGTCTTGGGAGGGTGTACGTGTCCAGGAATGTATCCATGTCTTCTAGATTTTCTAGTTTATTTACATAGGGGTGTTTATAGTATTCTCTGATGGTAGTTTGTATTTCTGTGGGATTGGTGGTGATAACCGCTTTATCATTTTTATTGAGTCTATTTGATTCTTCTTTCTTTTCTCTTTTTTTAGTGTTGTTAGTGTTCTATCAATTTTGTTGATCTAAAAAAAAAAAAAACAGCAGCTCCTGAGTTCACTAATATTTTGCAGAGTTTTTTCTGTCTTTATCTCATTCAGTTCTGCTCTGATCTTAGTTATTTCTTGCCTTCTGCTAGCTTTTGAATGTGTTTGCTCTTGCTTCTCTAGTTCTTTTAATTGTGATATTAGGGTGTCAATTTTAGATCTTTCCTGCTTTCTCTTGTGGGCATTTAGTGCTATAAATTTCCCTCTACACACTGCTTTAAATGTGTTCCAAAGATTCTGGTATGTTGTGTCTTTGTTGTCATTGATTTCAGAGAACACCTTTAGGTCTGCCATCATTTCATTATGTACCCAGTAGTCATTCAGGAGCAGGTTGTTTGGTTTCCATATAGTTGTGCGGTTTTGAGTGAGTTTCGTAATCCTGAGTTCTAATTTGATTGCACTGTGGTCTGAGTGACAGTTTTTTGTGATTTCTGTTCTTTTACATTTGCTGAGGAGTGCTTTACTCCCAACTATGTGGTCAGTTTTGGAGTAAGTGCGATGTGGTGCTGAGAACAATGTATATTCTGTTGATCTGGGGTGGAGAGTTCTGTAGATGTCTATTAGGTCCACTTGCTGCAGAGCTGAGCTCAAGTCCTGGATATCCTTGTTAACCTTCTGTCTTGTTGATCTGTCTAATATTGACAATGGGGTGTTAAAGTCTCCCATTATTATTGTGTGGGAGTCTAAGTCTATTTTTAGGTCTCTAAGGACTTGCTTTATGAATCTGGATCCTCCTGTATTGGGTGCGTATATAGTTAGGATCATTATCTCTTCTTGTTGAATTGATCCCTTTACCAATATGTAATGGCCTTCTTTGTCTCTTTTGATCTTTGTCAGTTTAAAGTCTGTTTTATCAGAGACTGGGATTACAACCCCTGCTTTTTTTTTTGCTTTCCATTTGCTTGGTAGATCTTCCTCCATCCATTTCTTTTGATCCTATGTGTGTCTCTGCATGTGAGATGGGTCTACTGAATACAGCACAGTGATGGGTCTTGACTCTATTCAATTTGCCTGTCTGTGTCTTTTAATTGGGGCATTTATCTCATTTACATTTAAGGTTAATATTGTTATGTTTGAATTTGGTCCTGTCATTGGGCAAGAGTGTCCCGATTTTCCAGGTACAGTCTGTCATGGCTTCCCTTGGCTAGGAAAGGGAAATTCCCCGACCCCTTGCCCGACTGAAGCGATGCCCCACCCTGCTTCAGCTCACCCTCTGTGGGCTGCACCCACTGTCCAACCAGTACCAATGAAATGAACCAGGTACCTCAGGTGGAAATGCAGAAATAACCCATCTTCAGTGTCGATCACACTGGGAGCAGCAGACCAGAGCTGTTCATGTCCAGCCATCTTGGAACAGAACCTAGAATATCTACCTCTTTAAGAGCAACATACCTACTAAAATTTCAGTAATAAGAAAATAAAACTATTGAATTTTCCATGCTTTAAAAATAAATAATTGGAGATGGTAAATTTTTCCTATTTTTTACACTACAATATAGACGTTTCTAACAGCAGAAATGCAAATGTGCTGAAATAGATCTGAAATTTTATGTATATTTTAAGATTGAAAATCATTCATCCATTCATTCATTCACACATGTTGTTGATCATTTATGATGTGCCAGGTACTGGGCTGGGTTGGTAACATCTAAAACAAATTAGAAGTGCTGCCTCAGGAAGGCTACAATCCGGTGAAGCAGACACAGTCATTAACAAATATTTACAAATAATTCTATTAGGGGACCAGTGTCTGACAGCTATGCAAAACAGATAATAACCAATTCTACCTATTTGGACAGGGAGTGGTGGATTCACAAGGGAGGTGAGACCTTCTGATTCCTTGAGGAGTCAGAAACTTACCCTTAGAAGAAACTGGGAAAAGGGCATCCCTTAAGACAAGTATATACTTACGACATTGAACTAGAAGGCACTTGTTCAGAGAAGGGCATAGAGGTAGTTCAGCTGGAACAAGGAAGGCGAGGTGGTACATTTGTCCACAAAGAGAGAGATTTATTATGAGAAATTGGCTCACATAATTATGAAAACTGAGAAATCCCAGAATACGCTGCCTGTAAATTGGAGATCTCAGAAAGTCTGTGGTATTATTCAGTGCAAGTCCCAAAGCTTGAGAACTAGGGAGAACCGATTGTGCAATTGGCCATTTGTGTAAATTGCATCCTGTGGGCAGGAGAAGATGATATGAGATGTCCTAGCTCAAGCAATGAGGCAGGAAAAAAAGGGGGCAAATTCCTCCTTCCTCCACTTCTTGTTCTATTCAGGCCCTCAAAGGATTGGATGATGCCTATCCATACTGGGAGGGCAATTCACTTTACCGAGTCCACTGATTAAGAGTTTAATCTTATCCAGAAACAGTTTTATAGGCACATCCAGAAATAAGATTCAATCTCGGCACCCCTTGGCCCAGTCAAGCCAATAGATTAAATTAGCCATCACACTTTTGTAGCAGAGACTCTCAGTGCTCTGCCAGATCTTTTAAATGTTTCAGTGGGTTCTGTCTTACATCCAACTGCCAGTATCTTCATCTCTGTATCTCAAGTCCAAATTGTGCAAAGTCTCAGTTCTTAAGCAGAACAGACAAGAAATGCCAGATAATTAATACCCCTAGAAGTAGCCCTCAACTAAAATCTCATGAGAGTTGGTGTACTTAGCATTCTCTCCCCTTGGGTTGCGTAATTCTGCAACGAATGGTTTGATTCACATCCTTTGCTACCTACCTTCCCATTAATGAATCACTTCTCTATACTTTCAGTTATCTATCGACATATAATGAACCACCCTCAAATCAAACCACTTAATGAGTTAAAATGACAGCAATATTTATTATGTCACGAATTTGTGATATGTACAGATTTAGAAAGTACAGCTTGTCTCTGTTCTACTTGATGTCAGGTGGAGCAGCTTCAAGGTTAGGGCTGAATCTTCTTTCACTCTCATGTTGGTACCTAGTCCAGGAAGACTTGAATATGTGGAGGCTAAGAGAGCTCTGTCTCTACTGGTCTCCGCAAATGGGCTCTCCAGCAAGGTTACTTTAAGGTACCTGGACTTTTTATATGTTAGTTTAGGGCTCTGAAGGTCTGTGTCTCAAAAGATAGTACCAGCAAAAATCATGATGTGGTATCATTTTTTGCTGCATTCTATTCATGAGATTGAGTCACCAATCTTTAGCCAAGGAGAAGGGAATATAATTTGGAAGCAATGTCGAAGAACTTGGACATGTTTTAAAACTACCACATCTTTATTTCTTGCACTTGCTCTCAAATGTTTTTTTCTTCTTCTTCTTCTTCTTCTTTTCAGGGCTAGCTTTTGCAGGAAGCCATACTAAAAAAAACTCCCAAGCTGATTTCTCCTGACTAAAACTAAAATTCATTGCCTGAATTTTACAGTTACGTTCCAAAGCACCTACCGTACAACTTCACCTGCATATTCAGCAAAAGGCACCTTAAATTAAACATGCCCAGAGCTGAACTCATTATTCCAAGCCCCACACCATACACAAACAAAATAACAGGCAGCTCTTTTTCTCATGCTCCCCACATCAATGAATGGCAGGATCACTAACTCAATTCAAACAGAAAACCTGAGCTTTATCCTGGAATCTTCTTTCTGTCTTCAACTTTGCTGTCACTCTCCAAATTCTATTATTTCTGAGTGCTAACTAGTTGTGAACCAGGCCACTGTCCTTTGTCACTTGGAATACTGAGATTGTTTTCTAACTGGCCTTAGGGCTTCAGGAAGCCAAACTCTAATTTATTTTTTTCCTCACAGCAGCCCAAATAAGCTTCTTAAATTGTAAAAATAATCCTGCCTTTCATCGTGTAAATCCTTCAATGAATCCCCATTGGTTTTTAAATGAAGTCCAAACTTTTTAGCACAATTTTAGTAATTATTATATAGTTTTTAATATTTTTAATATTTCCATTGACTATTTCTCAGCAGGGATTATTCTCTATCTTATTCATCTTTGCTTTCCTGAAGATATACATACAAACACATATATATGTATGTGTACAAATATATAAATATATATTCATATATATACATTTATTAAACAAATATATAAGTACATACATTTGTTATAAATACAAATATATAAGTACATATATATGTACAGATATACATATGTACTTTTATATTTGTTCATTACTTTTATTGTTAATAGTGTCTACTATACACTATTTATTTAAATTTTGAGTTAAAATTTATCTCATACATTAATATGTGTACTTATATATTTGTTTAATAAGTAAATGAAACAATAATATCCAAAACCCTATTAGTTTGTATTCAGAAAGAGCAACATACATACGCTTGTGTTTATGAAATTACCCATAATTTCAAGGCAGGTGAATGGGAGGATTCATGGATTAGAAGACTGTAAGAACACTTGAAGGTGAAGAGAGAAGATCTTACACATGAAGGAGTTATAAAGAACGACAACAGAGCAGTCAAAGCCCAAGCTAACTAGTCATTCTATGAAGATAAGTTAATTTGGAGTTGCTGCTCAAACACTTAAAGCTCTACATTTTCTTATCTACAGATCTAGAATGTAACAATTTTCATAACATTTCAGTTTTATGGAGTCATAAAAATCAAGGAAGATTAAATAGGTAATAGGTACTTTGAAAAAATATAAAATGTTACACAGTTGCATGATAGTGTGATTATCTTATGATTAACATAACGAAATTCAATAATAACAAGATCCACAATATCAAAATCATAGTAAAATGAATCAGGCTTACTCTACATATGGATGCTGAATTTTTGTACTCACCAGAGGACATAGAATGGTAGGAAGACTCGTAATCAGAGCTCATAATGAATACTCTCAGATTTTTACAGCTGTAAAGCAAATCAGCAAACACTTAGTGGCTTCAAACAATATTGGTTTATTACATCCCATGATTTTGTGGGTTAACTGGGCATCTGTTTGTTCACCCTCCTGCTTCATGTGTTATAACTGGAATCACTCATGTTGCAGCATTATTCTGGGAGCTAAACTGGCGCTAGAACATCCAAAATGGCTAAGCTCTTATCTCCCAGAGTCTTTCTCTACATGCCTTTCCTCTAATTCAACTTCTTGGAGCTTGAAGGCTGGATTTTAAGACAAAGCATTCTAGAAGGACCTGCCCCACATGCAAGTGTATAAAAAGCTTCTGTTTGCATCATGTTTGCTAATATCCTATTGATCAAAGCAAGTTATGCAGATAATGTGTAGTGGACCACACAAGTGCCTGAGGGATAAAAGGTTCATTGATTGCTACAGATTAGCAGTCTACCACAGCCTAACAGAGCTACCCATCTAAAGAGGACACTGTAGAGGTTGAGTTTGAGCTCTGAAGCCAAACTACTTGTGTTAAAATCCTGTGTAATTATTGGTAAGATTTTTATATTTTCCAAGTCTATTTTCCTATCTTTCAAGCAAGGAGGCTTAAAGAGATGGTCCATGCAAAATAATGGAACAGAGTCTGAAATGGTTTTAGGCCATGTTCATTACTACTTTTTATTATTAATAGTGTCTGCTATACTCCATTTGTTCAAATTTTGAGTTAAAATTTATCTCATATATCAATTACAGAAAATGACAATGCATGCCTTTCTACTACAAATGATAACTTTCTATATTTTTGAGGGGACTGTGGGGTGAGAGTTCTGTAATTACATAAATAAATTTGGTGTATGACTTGGTCAGAAGTGATGAAGCAGTGCCTCATTTATATTTGTCCTTAATTGCAGGTTCCGGTGTGTGGTCTACCCTTTTAAACCAAAGCTCACTATCAAGACAGCGTTTGTCATTATTATGATCATCTGGGTCCTAGCCATCACCATTATGTCTCCATCTGCAGTAATGTTACATGTGCAAGAAGAAAAATATTACCGAGTGAGACTCAACTCCCAGAATGAAACCAGTCCAGTCTACTGGTGCCGGGAAGACTGGCCAAATCAGGAAATGAGGAAGATCTACACCACTGTGCTGTTTGCCAACATCTACCTGGCTCCACTCTCCCTCATCGTCGTCATGTATGGAAGGATTGGAGTGTCACTCTTTAGGGCTGCAGTTCCTCACACAGGCAGGCAGAACCAGGAGCAGTGGCACATGGTGTCCAAGAAGAAGCAGAAGGTCATTAAGATGCTCCTGATTGTGGCCCTGCTTTTTATTCTCTCCTGGTTGCCCCTGTGGACTCTAATGATGCTCTCAGACTATGCTGACCTTTCTCCAAATGAACTGCAGATCATCAACATCTACATCTACCCTTTTGCACACTGGCTGGCATTTGGCAACAGCAGTGTCAACCCCATCATTTATGGTTTCTTCAACGAGAATTTCCGCCGTGGTTTCCAAGAAACTTTCCAGCTCCGGCTCTGCCAAAAAAGAGCAAAGCCTACGGAAGCCTATGCCCTAAAAGCTAAAAGCCACATGCTCATAAGCACATCTAATCAGCTTGTCCAGGAATCTACATTTCAAAACCCACATGGGGAAAACTTGCTTTATAGGAAAAGTGCTGAAAAACCCCAACAGGAATTAGTGATGGAAGAATTAAAAGAAGCTACTAACAGCAGTGAGATTTAAAAGGAGCTAGTGTGATAGTCCTAACTCTACTATGCATTAGAAATTTAAATACCATTGTTTTTTGTGGCTTTGCACTTCAATTTTTTCAAAGAATGTTCTAAATAAAACATTTACTGAAAGCCCTCTCTGGCAAAAAAAAGTAAAAATAAACAAAAATGGTCATAAGATCATAAACAATCTTATGTTGTATAAAAATAGAGTGACTTATACATGTTTGCATGGATAAATATATTTCTAGAGAACAGTTTACAAAGCCTCATCTTTCCCAACTTAACCCTTTGTGTATGCGTCAAATCAAGCTCGCGCATGCACACACGTGCCTGTGTGTATTTTCCCAAATTGATGATGATGAACAGTGAGTGCTTTGCATGAAACTATATTTTACCAATTTCTCCTTTGGTTTTGGATTTAAAATTTTGGACTACAAGACTATTTCTCTGCTTATGTTTATAAACTGTACTTAGTTTTCTAAGAAATACATTCGATCACATGAAATTCTCTGCTGTTGTTTTTTCTCATTTCCATTACTTAATTTGGGTTAACCTACAAAGGCAAGATATTATAGGTCCATGGGTAATTATGTCACAGTGGCCCTCACTTCCTGTGTGTCAGAACTGTAGTAGCAAATAAAGGGACACGTGTTTCTTTATATTTAAAAGTTGATTTTTTAAAAAGAGTACAAAGGAGTTTTTGTTGGCTTTTTCATATTTTCATAAGTGAAGTTTGTGCCCTAGTTGAACACACATTTGTTACAGAGCTTATTGAGGACCCCAACTTGACACCTTTCTCTAACAGAATCTCTGATGTAAAGAAGTAAACCCTTTAATAATGCAGCAGTTAACAGAAAAACGGCACCTTTCTTTGAAGTGTTTAATCATAGATGTTTAACAATTATCATAAAACTCTCACATAGAGAGCAAGAACAATTATTTCAAATCTTCTACTGAGCACATTTAAATCCAGCACCCTGGGTTTAGTAAATTAGTATTATTGTTTAAAAAAGAATTGACAACCCCTGAATTCAGCTATGTTAAAATCATCTAATGATAATGGTTGTCACAGTTAGCTTTTATTCTAGGGTGAGGTAAATCTCTAGAAAATTGGAAATTATAACAAAATAAACAGTTTGGCAAATAAAAATAAACTACTAGAAGTGAAGCTATTATACTTTTTTTCAGTCATTTTTGTGGTTCAAACTAAAAGCATTTGCTGTGGTTTGAATGTGGTTCGTCTCCACCAAAACTCATGGTAAAATTTTATTCCCAATGTGGCAGTGTGAGGAGCTGGAATCTAGAGGGCGGTGATCAGATCATGGGGGCACTACCCCATTAATAGATTAATGTCATTTCACAGGAGTGAGTTCTCGCTCTTGTGAAACTGGATTCATTATGGCAAAAGTGGGTTGTTGTAAAGCAAGGTTCTTCTCATGTTTTGTGTCTGTCTGGACGTGCCTGCTCACTTTTCTGCTTCTCTGCCATGTTGTAACACAGAACAGGGCCCTCACCAGAAGCCAAGCAGATGCCAGTGCCATGGTCTTAAACTTTCCAGTCACCACAGTTGTGAGCCAAAAAAACCTCTTTTCTTTGTAAATTACAAAGCCTCAGAATTCTGTTATAGCAACACTAAATGGAATAAAACTTTTCCACATTCTACTCTTTTGAGAAATAATTGTAGAGTTGTTTGTTTGTTTGTTTGTTTTATTTTTTTTTTTTTTCTTTGGAAGTCTCTCTCTGTTGCCCAGGCTGGAGTGCAGTGCTGTGATCTTGGATCAATGCGATCTCTGCCTCCCAGGTTTAAGGAATTCTCCTGCCTCAGCCTCCCCAGTAGCTGGGATTACAGGTGCACACCACTGCACCTGGATAATTTTTGCATTTTTTTTTGAGATGGAGTTTCACTCTGTCACCCAGGCTGGAGTGCAGAGGCATGGTTTCAGCTCACTGAAAGCTCTGCCTCCCAGGTTCACACCATTCTCCTGCCTCAGCCCCGCGAGTAGCTGGGACTACAGGCACCTGCCACAGCACCTGCCACCACGCCCGGCTAACTTTTTGTATTGACAGGGTTTCACTGTGTTAGCCAGGTGACCTCGTGATCTGCCTGCCTCGGCCTCTGAAAGTGCTGGGATTACAGGTGTGAGCCACCACACCTAACCAATTGTTGAGTTTCTATTCGAATTGAGCTATGTGTTATTTGAATATACAAGTGTTATTTCCTGCAATTATGAAGGGCAACTCTTAAAAGTTGTAGGTATAGAATTTGACCATATATTCTTTTATCTTGATTTACTGAAATACTAACAGTTAGTGTACTCAGACATAGAAGATTATTTTCATATAGACTATCACTTTCTTATGGGCCTCCTCACATGGATACGCATTCTATCAGCACTTGAAACTCATTTTCACTAAATTGCATGTCCTCCCATTCATCTGTCTGCTTTTATCACCTTCTATTCCCTGTTTCATCTTCCCTAATGGTGACAAAACTCTCCTTACTGCATCTTATCCCGACGTTCAGTGTTGTATCTTTTAATTATTTCTATAGTTGGCAAAGGCATCTTCCTGAGGACTAATTTGCTTTCTTTCATTAATAAATAATTTGACAAATATAATTTTGTCTTTGGCAGTCTATTATATTTTTTATAATAGCTCTCTCTTTTTTTATAATAGGCTCTCTGCCTCTTAAAAGATGTGCATTTTAAAAGCCCACCATGGCCTGGCCCTCATCTCCTGGTTATATCTCTCTGACACAAATTGTTTTCAAAACTCAAGTCAGAAATGGTCAACCTAGATTGTTGTTTTTTTCCCATTTATTACTTATTCACTGCTTTACTCCCTTATTTGACTGTCTATCTTTTGTCCAAGATCTTTTAAAAAGTCACCTCTCTCAGAAAGTCTGCATTCTTACGGCAGAAATTGTTACTCTTTTCTAAGTACTATGTACCTCTTATATGACAACCTAACTTGTAATTTCTTTGTCTTGTGCTTGCAACTGGAATATGAATTTCCTAAGGGCATGATGAATTAGGCCTTACTTATCTTTAGATCCCCTACAGTGTGGCTCACAGTAATAAGCAGTAGATATATACATGCTAGATAATTGCCACAGGCAAAAACCATCTGTCATCTTGCTTAAGAGGAATGTCTAATTCTGAACAAGTAGAATTTTGCATACAGATTCTAGTACACCTGTTACAGACAAAGGAGAGCTTTTCTATCAATTGAAACAATAAAATAACAGATGAAGAAAGCTAAAATGTCTTGAACATGCGTAGTCACTAAGATTTAGATTATATAGTCATACATGATTTGCTACCTAATAGTTTAGTGCTTTGCACAAACAAATTTCCTATTCCTGAATTTTCTTATCTGTAATATGGGAATAACAATAGCTCCTTCCTCCTGGTCTGCTGTGAGTATTAAATGATGGGGGGAAGTTTGCATAATAAAAAGCAGAGAAACTATAACTTAGCAAAGGCTAAATGATTGTTGCTGTCTCGATGATAGTGAAAAGTATTAATAGGAGTAGTAATTATAATAGTCTCAAGCCCATGCTAGGTTATATTTTACATGCGTGATAACCCTCACTAGAGCACTCAAGGTATGTATTATTCCCATTTTACAGATGAGAGTACCTAGTCTAAGAGAAGCTGGTTTTACCCAAAGTCATGAAGCTTGAAAGTGGTACAAACAAGTTTGCAACTCAGAAACATATAATTCCAAAACGTTATTTTTCCTTCTATGTCATACCATCTGTGTGTTATTATGAACTTAGTTTGGACTACCTCTTAACCACTTCTTCAATCACCATTTTTCTGATTGTAAGACAACATTTGGGCTACTTGTAGAATTTGTGAGAAACACAGAATAGTACAAAGAAGAGATTAAAATTACACATAACCCCTCTAGCAAGAAGAAAAAAAAAACACTGAAGACACATACTTCAACTAACACTTAGTTCAGCACCCTTTATATAAAATTTGCCAATAGTGATTATTTCCTAAAGTAGATTCCTAGCAAGAAAATTACTAGGAAGAGCATTTTTGTAATACTTTTGATATGTACTCTAAATTGTTTTTAAACTATTAATATAAAATTCCAATTTTGTGGTTGATCATCTCATAGTATCCTTAACACATAAGTTTCCCTTCAACTTTGCTACTTTAATATGTGAAAATCATTTAAATTTGTTGTTTTGATTACTAGTGTAGTTGAACGTTGCTCTGTTTCTTACTAATTTATATTTCTTCCTCTTCCTATTTGGCCATTTTCCCTGTGTATTTTTTGTTTCCTTTTGTATTTTTATTCATTACTATGCATTTCTGTATTTAAGGCATAGCACCTTCAATAACAGGCAGCACAATCTTTTTAAAAAACAAGTTAGATGTCACTTGCTCATTTCAAAGCCATCAATAGTTTCCTTTCAAATTAGGAAAGAAACAAACTCCTAGGCTTACATACATTTACTTTTTCTGCCCTTGCCTACCTCTTAACCTCATCTTGAACCCAGCACTCATCATTCACACAGACTGTCTGTCTCTTCCTCTGACATCGGCCAAGCCCTTTGCTGTCTCTGTGTTCTGCACCTGTGTTCTTCCTGCCAGGCTCCCCCATAGCCTTCAGTGTTCAACTGAAACCCCAGCTGTGCCTTGCCTATTTCCTCCACAGCACTTCCAACTATCTGCAATAATCTTCAACATTTATTGAATTACTTGTTTAATATCTATCCCCTTCCAAGAAGCAAAATTCATAAAGGCAAGGATTTTTGTCTTGTTTATCATTGTATCATTCAGTGTCTAAGAGAGCGCGTGGCTCATAATGGACACATGATAAATATTTGAGCAAATTAACTGGTTGCAAATATTTACCAGTTTTCAATTTTCATTAAGTTTATTCATGAATATGAGTTATACTTTATTTTTAAATATTGAAATAATTCAGAACATAATAGAAACATTAAATAATATACAAAAGCAGATGAAATAAAATAAAATAATTCTTTATTCTGCTGTAACTTACTGATAATCATTCTTGCTGCCATTTGGGGGCAATGGTACATGCTTTCTTTCACTATGATTCTGGGGCATATGCTTTATTATCTTTTTATGTACTTAGTGTATCAAGGACATGTTTTACGTTGTTTAATAGTCATCAGAATATTTTGTTTGTTTTCATTCCACTTCCATTATTTATTAAGCTTCTTCCCTGTACCTGGAAATGTAAATTATTTCTTACATTTTATAAAATG